CATTTCTACAAACTGAAGAGTACCCGTTTAATAATAAATTCAACTGAAACTGTATCAGTTATTAGCTTATAACAATACTTATGAATATCGCCACTTCATGTACTACCTCTACTTACATGATACTGCTAATAATGACACCGTATGTTTGTTCAAAACCGGTGCAGCCCGTTTTCAAACGGGAATATCACATGCATATCTGATTATTCTATAGAGTATAGGTTTATGTAAATCGGAACGCTGCCTTCATCTTGGAAATATCCAATGCTACAATTAATACGAGTATTATATGTCTTAAGGTATAAATTATACCCCAAAAAACGTTACTAGAGCTAATCATTAAAAGTCATGTTTCGCCTAAACATATCTGCTCTCGCTATTCTATTAAATATTTTAAAGGAAAGGGGATGCGTTGCCTTGTATGCTAAATTCTATAATATTTCCGGCCGTCTTCTTCATTCTTCATTAGTCCTGTCTCTCTTTTCTTCTATTGAGATGGCTTCCTCTGCTTCAGTAAGTGGTATGTGATGGTCAGAGAGCCGACTCCTGAAAAGAAGAGCAATTTGTAAAGAGTTTAAAGGCTGACGTTTCGAGCGTTAGCCCTTTGTCAGAGCGATTGGATCCTTGTGTCTCTTTTACATACTCTTACTTTACTCTAAGAAAATACCACAGTAACTGACCAGCGTACGTAGGAGCTCATTCTCATCGCCTCCCAAAAGAAAGACAATCCTTGAAAATGTGTAGCAATTAAATCTATATCACAAATTAGAGAGTCCATTATATTTTCTCTTCAAATGAACGATCACCAACATATCGTATGTCTACGACTAACCAAGAATACAGGTTGGCAGATCCTATAGATGTACAAGTGTGAAAAAATTTCACTCTTGTACATCTCTTTCACAAACGAAATAAAGAGGTCAGTCAGCCTATAGTCTGGAAGAAGATGCATACCTTATTATTATAACATGTAGGTCAATTCTAAGAGTAAGGAAGACGACTTTGTAGTAGGATGACACTTTTTGTAGCGCCATGTCGCTTGGAATCTTATTCAACTGTCAATAAGCAGGGACGCTTCTCAAGAGATTTATTAGACCGTTTAAGTGGACGATAT